AAATGAATCTTGAAATTCATTCAAGATAAGTTTTATTACAATTGGGCAAGTTCTCTTGAGAACTGCGTGCGATCAGTTCAAACTTCATACACAATACATTAGTGTTTATGGATCAAACGATATCTGAGTAGGTGTTTATGGATCTAACATTGATTTTGGGCGAACAATCTGATGCTGTCATGCTGTTTCTCTATTCTAGCTGTTGCAGAGAGTTTGAGCATTATATCTGTTCATTATCACATGAAGTAGATAATCACTAGCTTAACATAAAATTCTTATCATTTAATCATTTCAGATGAATCAACAATCTAGTTCAATCAAAAGAGCCGTACATAGAACAAGCAAATTCCCATCTTAACGCCAATGTTGTTCACTTCTTCCACCAATTTTTACCGCCTCCATTGAGAAATTTCACTTTATTGTCTCATTGTCACTGTTTGCTTTGTATTACAATTAGAAAATAAAGTTGATGCGCAGTTTCATTCACATTTATCTTCTTGACAAGTACACATACGACAAGGCCAAAATGAATGTGATTCCATCTATTCAGAATCTAGATTATCTAAAACACATGAATATTTCAGTAATCACATCGAGTTCACTCTTCAGACCATTAAACCTGAATAAACGGTGCGAAAAACATCTGGCCAACAGTCGTAACGCCTATTTTGTTGTAATGATTGATTTCCAGGGCTGAAAAGTGTTTGTGGGAAGGATGAAAGAACAAATCCCGAAAGAGCTCAAGCAAATAAAAGATTCATGCAATACACTCGGATGGATGAGTGACCGAGTTAATGTTGCATTGCTGTGTATACCAACCTATGCAGCTGAAGTTCTGAAGATCTTCCAATGCAGCTGATGTTCATGCGTTCGACTTTATTTCCCAGCTATAAGACACGCCTCATGCGTTCATGAAACATAATTTTTGAATTACATGCCAGATGCGTCGCATGTATCTCACCGTACTTCACTGAGGAAATACCCACTAGATACCATACCAATGTACATTTCCATACTCCTAATAGATTTCATGGAGCATTCATCAGGAGTGCACATGAGTAGATGCAATGAAATTACATCGTATCGATAAAAGTACCACCGTTGATCTTTGAGATGATCCTGTCAAGCACTTGATGCTGTCTGATCAAGCACGAGAGAATTTCTGGAGCAGACTTAAATGAGAACAACAAATGAACTGCACACGGCATGAATAGAACGCAACGTCGACTAGAGCCTTTCGAAGAACGAATACAACCTCGAAAATGATCCACAAATAGTGAGGATGAATCTCCAGAGATGAACTAAGCAGTAGATTGCGATGAAGCATTTGCGTGGTATCCTCCTGTAACGAATTCACATAAAATGCTCGAGGTGTCACTTCAGACGAAAACTTTTGGCTGCAGCATGGGATTAAAGTTATGCTCACCCATTTATTCTTGCTGAATGTCCTCAGTTTCCATAGGCAGAAAGTGCAGCTTACAGAATGCAAATAACGTCAGTGAAATATTTAAAATTTCAAGAAATATGCCTCTGTGATCTCAGAGAACAGAAGTTTTCCGTCAGCAAAACTTTGGTTCTCCGAGATCAACGAGCCATCATACGTAAAAATTCGTATCATCAGGACAGCTATGATCACTGAAGACATTCGGGTCAGCATTGCGCATGGATCTAACTGTCAGTGCAATATTTCTAATTGATTGTATAGCCGTGAGGATTTCAATCTTTTCCTGGAGGCTTTCTACTGATCTAATGCGAAATTTTACTCACATAAATAACGCAGCCGTTTTTGTAACAATTCCACTCCGAAATAGGGATAATTGTATTCTTCATGCCCACTTTAAAAATTCGCAATGCATGGATTGAATGAATCTGCAGTAATGGATTCCATTCGTCAACGGATAGCATTTTCGTTGATTGAATATTCGAGTGCGTCGTATTCACATTTGGACGATCAAAAGATCGTGAATGCAAATACGTTACCAATAGGAAAACAGCGTTTATTGGGTGCCTTGATGGAAGTATTTTTGTTATCTCATGGATATTTTCGTTGATTCTATCGTGTGTTCAGCTGAGGCAAATTATGCGATTTCGCACTAATTTGTTTGAGTAGTGATGCTTGATCGCTTATATCATCATCTTTCATAAAGAGTAATTCAGTAACTCAAAATAAATTGAATAATCTTTTCAGCGGATTGATTGTGCTCTGTTTGCTCTGGTCGAACGGTGTAACCCAACCAACCTCGAATCTATTGTTGATGTGATGAAGGCATCCGAATTGAGCTGTTGTATTTGTTCAGCCTTCAGTTAGCGTCGATCTATCTGGATCAAATTGTCTACTTAAGCGGTATCTCACCTCAGTACCTTTTAATATTCTCCAGGTGACTGCCACTTCAAGCAGCAATTGAATGCTTGTCAGAAATCAAATTATTTTGAATATTCTCCCACTTGGCTACTGTAACTTTTGTTCGGAATAGAGTGTGTTTCAGATTATCCATCACTTTCTCGACTAGATTACTATATTAGCTACACTTTAGTCATCCAGCTTGAGAGATATCA